TGGTCGTGGAGGCAGCAAGGGTGGGAGAGGTGGGGGGGGGAAAGGGGGGGGGGGGGGGGGGGGGGACAAATGGCTGGTCTGTCAGCGATAACAGATATAAAGTGCACCAAATACTTAATAAAATTCCATGAAGCATTACTTACTCTAAAATGGTGAACACCAACATTGCCATCGAAACTAAGCACAACATGATTAGATACTTTAATATAATGTTAAGAAGAAGCAACCAAAAAAGTTATGTCAATCAAGAATAAGAACTAAAATTGCACTTCATGTGACATTGACACAGAGAGGATGCAATCCATAACAAGAAACCCAAACATTGATTAAGTTGACATTTACCTTCATCACATCATTTTGACATATATACTAAAATTACAGGTGTGTGTTAACTGGATTAACCCTATTTCAACTAAGCTTTTGGCAAAGATGCAGCATTCCTTGACGAAGTACATTCATGCCTCTCTAATATGGATGGAAGGGACACTATCTCTTTCAAGACCTATTCTCCAAAAGAAGGCTAAGTACGTGATGACACATTCCTTTTAAGATATTTGGACTCACAAATTAATACTGAACATTTCACAGAAAAGAGATTTATGACTTTAAGGGGGCCAAGATATAATGCCATAGATTTAATCCTATAACCATGGATATGCCAGATACTAAAAGACAAACATTTCACATACACAACCAAATATAAATTTAAGAGTTATCCTAAAGGAAACATACAATCAGGAGAAAAGTAAACTCAAACATATTTTAAGCATCAGGACATTTATTTTCAGTTAAAAGATTAACGTAAATTCAAACAACTAAGATTGGGGTAAGAAACTTTAAAAGTATTAACATATATGAATTTAGGATAACATATCTGGACGTTTTCCATAGAATACTTAGCGCATTCGAACCATTCACAATTATAGATATACAAAACTACTGCATTAAATATTGAATGCATCATTAAGAAAACTAACCAGTGATGAGACCAAGATGATAATAAGGAAGCACACTTTGATGTTCCAGTAACTCAGTCAGTCGTGTCCGTAATCCGTATCTGATTCTCAACAAATCAAGATCACAAGAATCTCAAGAATTTCAAACAGTGCTTATGTCGAGGAGGATGCAAGTATAAAGTGAGCAAGGTTATCTTATGTTTAGCAACTAGCAGGAAACAGAAAATAATAGAGAAGTAATGATGTTTTCTATCAATATCCAAAGGAAAGAGAGGTCCTTTAGAAATATCGAGGCCTTCTAGTTATGTTGTAAAAGAGGAAGAGAGCCTTTTGGGATCTTTCATCGGTGATCCGTGATTAGTTATTCTATAGAGAGAAAGAGAACTCAAGGCTATTTTTCCAGTGATCTCTGTATCAGTTATTCTCTTTGAGGGAAAGAAAGCTTGAGGGTTGCTGTTCATGATCCCATAGAAAGAGAAGAATGCTCCTTATATAGTAAGATAGAGACTTAATAGTAAAATGCAAAGAATCAAGTAGAGCTAATTAAATCTGGGAAATATCTTTCCTTTATCAACAAAATTGAATCAAGGTAAATGCAAGAAATCAAACTGAATTTAACAAATGCCAAAGCTATAACACCATTTCATATCAGATCACCAAAATCGCACCTTGTATCCAGAAAGTCAATCAATTAGGACAACACTTACCATAATTACCAAATAGTAACATTGTTTCAACGAGCAATCAAAGGAAACAGACGAGAAGTCATGAATCACGGAAGGTAATAAATTCAGCCAGAAAGAGTAGGTTGTCATAATTCGAATTGATATGAAAAGAAGCAAGTAAAAATGGAAGTGATCATTGGTTACTAAGAATATAAAGAATGTTCACAAGACACCAAAATTAAGTACTGAATTTGCCACAAATTCAAATTTAAGCAAATAACTTTAAAACACGGTTCAAAAATAATTAAAGGTTATCATTTAAAGGAAAGGAAATAGACATGTAATTGAATTATCAAATCTCATAGAAAAGTTCGAGGTTGAACCATAATTCACTAATTTCAAATCTCAGGACCATTCATGAATCTAAATTAATTGAACACACAATGAATAGCTAAAATATTATACCATGGACAGATTCTTACAGTCATAAAATGTTCCTCCGATAAGGAGATCATTTTAGTGCATAGGTACGGAACTTTCTCTGCAATAGTTGGTTATGCAGTTATGCTAGCTTCGCCGGTGTCAGGCAGAGATGAGAGGACAAGGGACGTCTGGAGCTGGCAATGATCTCTAGTCTTTTGGTGGAGAATTTACTGGAAGGAGAAGGGAGGGGAGAGATGATTTGGTGGTGGTCTGGTTGAGAGGGAAGGTGTAACACCTCAGAAATTTTTTCGAAGTAAGACTCGAACCGTTCTTCGTAGTGAGTGAGATTTTACCAAGGAATTTAAAATTTCTTAAGATTTAAGGTCACTAGATGTAGCACCTTGAATTCCAAAAATAACTAAATTGGAAATAGCAAAAAATCTGAAATTTGGAGAGTTAAGTTAAGTATGAGTTTTTGGTCAACTTCCAACGACCATAACTCCTAACTCAGGATGATTTAGGTGTGCTACAAGATACCTTAGGAAATACCTTTGAATTATCTTTTCAACGCCACTATGTTTGCTAAGTTTTGAGTTCGGATGAGTGAGATATGTCCTTTTGAAGTTAGGCTGTCCAGTTAAGGAAAGTTAGCCGGAAATAGTGAGGGGTATTCTCATCTTTTCCTTACCCAATCAGATTTAATTTGTTTTTAGTAGTATTTTAAGGGTCTAATCCTATTAGGTTCAGTTTTATAATCCTAAAATTAGCCTAGGGTTTTAGTTGAGAGTTCAAGAAGAGAAAAGAGGAGAAAAAAGGAGATGATCAAAGCGTTCGTCGAGAGTCTTGCGTTTTGCTGCGGATTTTCGCCATGGATTTAATCCCTAAGTGGTATGTAAGCTTCCATAGTGTTGAGTTTGTTCACCCACACGCCAAACATGTTATTTTCAGCGCAAATTTCATTCTTGAAGTTGAAAGATTTGAGTTCTTGATGAGTTCTTGAAGTTCATTCTAAATCTTGTTGTGTTGGGTTCTTGATGATTTCTTGAGATCAAAGTGAGTGTTTTAAGGGCTGTATTGAGTAGATTACAGTGTACTTATGTTAAGTGATTGATTCTATGTGATTGGGGAAGAAACCGTTCGATTCTAGGCGAGTTAGGCTGAGAAAATGAGCAAAGAATTTTGTCGAGTTTTCTGGGTTGGGGACTGGCGCGATGCGGCAGCCAGAGCGCCCCAAACCCTCCTCTGAAGTTTAGGAGCTGGTGCCCTGCGCCACTCAGAGCGCCAGGGTCGCCTGCCCATCCAGTTTGTCTTCGGTTGCTTCGTTTGAGTTCGTTTAAAGTGCACCTTCACTCCCTTTCGATTCTAAATACTCTAAGCTACTTCTAAATACCTAAAATAATTCCTAACATGATCATAACCTTGAATTCATAATTCAAATTCAAGATAGATTTGAGAGTTAAGTTTTGAGAATTCTTCCGAACATTCTAAGAAAGTCCTTTTGTGGAATCTTCTACAACTTCTAGTAACTTGTTCCAAGACTCAAGTAAGTGAGCATGAGAGTGAGGATAATGTATTCATGAGTCTACACTATCATCTATATCCTTCATATCATGAACTATGACTCTTGAATTCATAATTCACATTCAAGAGATATTTAAGATCAGTAGAGTTCAAGAAGCCTTTGAGTTCGATTGTGAATCCTTTGAGACCAACTATTGATTTGACCTAAGTTTTGAGGAAGTAAGTAAGAGAATGAGAAGAGTCGTATACATGAGATTCATGTAGTTATGTAGACCTTTGAGTCGAGTCGTTCATGCCCATAATAACGTATGAACTTCATAAATTGAGCATCATTGAGAGTAGTAGTATTTTCAAGTTCTATGTCTTGAGTATTGAGTTCCTAATTCCCTTTGAGATTATATTTCTAATCATGGGACTATTACATGTTACCCATGAAGTCTTTGAGTTGAATCATTCATGCCCACAATTCTGCATTAACATTATATGCCGAATAATCTTGAGATGAGAAGTATCTTTGAGTCCTTGAGTTGACTGGTTCATGCTCATAATTCCGCATGAACCCTCTGAGTTGATCATTCTTGAAGTGAGTAGTATCATTGAAGTTCTTGAGTTCCAAGTATTGAGTTCTATCTATGGTTATTGAAAACCTTGCATTGAGTCGTTCACGTCCATAATTCAGCATGAACCATATTCTACGAAGTCTTTTACAAATGTTTTAACTTTGTTTTAAGACTTAAAGTTTTGAGTTAAGCAAAGAGTAAAGAGTAAAGAGTTGAAGTTCATTTCTTCAAAAGTCTATGGGGACTAAGTATTTCCAAAGAGATTTAAAATGTTTTCACATTTAAATAAGAACTGAAACTGAGATTTCCAAAGAGCCTTCGGGCTAGTTGTCAGAAAAGAGTAATCGCTTTCTAAATGAAGCAAGAGAGAAAACTTTGATTTCCAAGATAGCCTTTGAGCTAAGTTTTTGAGCACTAATCTCAAATCACAGAAAGAAGTATGTTTTTAAAACATAAAGAGCTAGTATATTTTGGGAGTAGTATTGAGCGCCGATATGGGGGAGAGTTCAGACAACTCACAGCCCCCATAAACCATGTAGCCATCATAGGTAGAAAAGGGTCATACTTTTTAGATGAATTCTTTTCCCATAGACTAGTGGATCCACTTAGTAGTTCAGGTCCTATACCTGTGGCAAGGTATAGGATGCGCTGGCAGCATGAGGGAGATCGATGTATCACAATAGCTCTTATGTGATGGTTATCGATTAGAGAAACTCCCATAGCAGTACTTGTATTTTTATATACATCAGTTTATTTGTATTTTTACATACATCTCAGAGTTATTTGTATCTTTGCATACACACAGAGTTGACATCATGTTTTAAACAACTTTTCTTTATAGTGCACTTGTTTAAAAACGGCTTTATATTGAAATAAGTTTAGTTATGTTGAGTTGAGTATCCAGAGCTGAGTATCCAGAGTTTGAGTACCAAGAGTCGAGTGTTTTATTATTGAGTTGCATATCTTATCCTTGAGTACTTCTGAGTTGAGTAAGTTTGAGTAGTTTTGAATATCCTTGAGTATTCCTTGAGTTGAATAAGTTTGAGAAGAGGTATGTATGTTTCCTTTTTATCAAGTTTCAATCTTGTGTTTATGCTTTAGAATTCCTCTTACATGCTCGTACATTCCACGTACTGAGTCATTTGGCCTGCATCTTCTCTTGATGTAGACACAGGTATTCATGATCATCAATAGGAGGTTCGTTGATACATCCAGAAGTTCGAGTTAGCTATGGTGAGCCTCCTTATTTCCGGAGGATTTCATTTACTTTTTCAGTTTAGTCAGGATTTCGTGGGTCTTGTATCGACTTCCATCTTTATTAGTTAAAGGCTTCATAGATAGTCAGTATAGTTAAGAAGTCTGTATTATTCATTTATTTTATTAAATGTTTTAAAGACTTAAGTTGCCTATTTTATGGCAAGTTGAATATATTATTTTTATTCTAAGTTACTCATTTGAGTTAAAGTTTCGAAAAGTTGAGTTTATTGAATTTATTTCAGTTTTTAAGCTTTTGCTTGCTTAAGTTAGTCTTCCGCTTGTAGTTAGCCAGGATGAGGGTTCTCTTGGGGACCAACAATGGTTCTTAAGTGTCGGCCACGTCCAGGGTGTAGACTCGGGTCATGATAAACTTGGTATCAGAGCACAGAGTTCAAGAGTCCTAGGGTGTCTATGAAGCCGTGTCAAGTAGGGTCTTGTTTATGGTTGTGAGGGCCCCACTTCTATAAACGAGGGACTACATATATTTAAGGAAAGTTTCCCTTCTTTCATACTCTTAATCGTGCAATAGAGCTATGTCATAGAGACTTATTCTAACTCGTGCGTATCTCAGAATCATTGGACTACTCATCATACTAGTGGTGGTTGAAAAGCAAAGTCAGTCATTTATTGACGAGATACTCTTAGAAAAAAAAACTTGAGTAAGTCATGAGACTCCAGAGAGGCTTGAGAGTAGCCCAAAGAGTAAGTTAAGTGTTCAGTTTCAAAGGAATGCA